GTCTACTTGGTCACCCCCCAACTTCTAAGTAATGCCCATCAAACAATTCGTGTCCATATTCACCAGAAATTGATGACAGCATTCCAAATCATTCTAGAATTGAAATTGTTTTGGTTTTAAAAACAATTCTGTTGGGTCTTGGAGACCGGTGAGTGTATAACTGAGGATATGGAATCCTAATGCTTGCAAAAACATAATTCCATCTGTAACAGAAATAATACAACAAAGGATCTCCACTGCACAGTCATAGTATGTTGTATTTCTTAATGAGTATTCTCTATAAAGCAATGTTTATGAGTAAACGATGAGCGAGACAGGCCCTGAAGGGGATGACCATCAACTTCGCTTCATTACCGATGTTTGCTTCCGCTAGTCAAACACGTGAACACATTAAGCCCGTTGTTTAAAAAAGGCGAAAAAATATTGCATAAGCCTGACTTGAAGAAAGGAATCTGTAACAAACTTTGCTACGGCCGAATCGAGGCCCAGAGCGCGTGTCAGACAATCTTTCACAACGCTCAATGTTGGATTTCACGCCTTGACGAGAAGGCGTCGCCATCTTTTAAATTTCGTTAACGACGAATTAAGTCGTATCTCCCCCGACAATGGAGTCACTGATGCAGCCGTAGCCGTTTTGAAGTCGGCAACACCCGATTAAAATCTTTTTAACAATTTGGTGATGTACTATGCGGCAGATGGCGGGGCGGTTACGTTACCCATAATTCTTAGCGGATGTTACACCGGAGGCCGCTTGTGTCCCCCCTCAATGGCGGTAGTGTACAGATTTCGCGATGTGACGTAATGTTACGGGTGGGGTGTATCAGAAATCGGGTTTGTAGACAGTTTGCAGTGACAGAGGGGACGAAATAGTATCATCATTGTTCCTTATCTGATCTTGTGGCTGATCGAGCGCGAGGGCTGATGGGATGCATCGCGGTGATTAACGAGCAATTAAAGGGGAATTATCCTTGTATTACACCTTCATTATGACCACCTTTGTTGTCCACGCGCTCCTAACTCTAGGCGCGCAGGGGACTCGCGTGTAACGGGGGCAGGAGTCGGCATCGTGCGCAGATTGCTTAGGAAATTGTTACAGGATGGGAGTGTGAGGTGTGGAAGTGTTGATTGTTGGTTGTTGTTTTACGCCGCACTCAGCACTATTCCAGCATTATGACTGCGGTCTGTAAATAGACCAGACCTATCTAGTGATTGACATCGTGAGTGAGCATCGATCGGGATATGCTGACACGCCATAACCTAGCCACCGAGCCTGACCCCCCGATCCACACTGTCAAAGTTTAAAAACAAAAATTAAATAGAAATCTGAGCGCGATTCTTGCCCCATGCTTTTGACGAGCTTAGTTCTGAACGTGTTTAGAATTGTGTTATGGGTCTTAACGTGTTTAACAGATGAACGTGTTATGGGTCTTAACGTGTTTAACAGCTGAACGTGTTATGGGTCTTAACGTGTTTAACAGCTGAACGTGTTATGGGTCTTAACGTGTTTAACAGCTGAACGTGTTATGGGTCTTAACGTGTTTAACAGATGAACGTGCTATGGGTCTTAACGTGTCTAACAGCTGAACGTGTTATGGGTCTTAACGTGTTTAACAGATGAACGTGTTATGGGTCTTAACGTGTTTAACAGATGAACGTGTTATGGGTCTTAACGTGTTTAACAGCTGAACGTGTTATGGGTCTTAACGTGTTTAACAGATGAACGTGTTATGGGTCTTAACGTGTTTAACAGATGAACGTGTTATGGGTCTTAACGTGTTTAACAGCTGAACGTGTTATGGGTCTTAACGTGTTTAACAGATGAACGTGTTATGGGTCTTAACGTGTTTAACAGATGAACGTGTTATGGGTCTTAACGTGTTTAACAGATGAACGTGCTATGGGTCTTAACGTGTCTAACAGCTGAACGTGTTATGGGTCTTAACGTGTCTAACAGCTGAACGTGTTAAGGGTCTAAACGTGTTTAACAGCTGAACGTGTTGTGGGTCTAAACGTGTTTAACAGCTGAACGTGTTAGGGGTCTAAACCTGGTTAACAGCTAAAGGCGTTTAGGCTTTAATCCCAGTATTATCCAGGGTAGATTAGATACACTACATTCTGTTGTATACCACAAATAAATCCAGAAAAAGAAGGGAAAGCAAGACACCGCTAACTGTAGCTTTCCTTCTGGTTGTGTCTGGGGTATCTAACCGAGCATTGTGTATATAATCTTACTACCTGGATATTCGAGGTTGATGGCTGATTCATCAAGCTGAGGCTCCATAGTCTGTGGGGCAAAGGGGTGGTCGGGTAGCCTAGTGGTTAAAGCGTTTGCTCGTCACGCCAAAACCAGGGTTCGATTCCCGACATGGGTACAATGTGTGAAGCCCATTTCTGGTGTCCCCCGCCGTGATATTGCGTGAATAATGCTAAAAGCGGCGTAAAACCATACTCACTCACTCACTCAATGTTCGGCAAAAGTATATCATGAATGACAGTGGAGCGGTGTAGTTCAGGCCCGTCACCAAACCGACGTCTCCACGGGGCTGACAAGCTGCCTGCTATACACTTTTGCCACATGTACTTGAGAGGAAAGTATCACCTTAGGATGCACTGTAAAAATGTTTTTTGTCCTTAACACAAACCTAAACACTCTCTATGTCACATCATTTTAACATGCTGAGGTCTAAACATGTTTTGGATTGTGTTTAACTGTTAAATTTGTTTAGGGTCTAAATGTGGGAAAGATCCGTATACCCCCCCTCGAAATTCCTTAGTAGGTAAGACCCGTGAAGATTCCGGGGTAGAATAGGCCTTTAGCAAACCATGCTTGCCGTAAAAGGTGACTGTGCTTGATGTGAAAGGCGACTAACGGGATCGGGTGGTCAGGCTCGCTGACTTGGTTGATGCATGTCATCGATCCCAATTGGGTGGATCGATGCTCATGATATCAATCACTGGATTGTCTGGTCCAGACTCGATTATTTACAGACCGCCGTCATATAGCTGGAATATTGCTGAGTGCGACGTTAAACATCAAACCAACCAACCAACCAACCTTAGTAGGTAATGTTTAAAAAAGGGGTGCTCTCTGTTTTTTAGCGTTTAATGGGGCTACATAAGTAAGTGAGTTTGGGGGCAGGTAACTGTTATATAAAAAGTTAAGGGTCTGTCGTAGTAATCGGATATACTTTCATTCTCAGCTTCTTTATACTTCGTGAAAGAAATACTGTTAGTCATACAACATATTAATGAACGCACAACCTTTGAAACCTCAGCGGGATACGGGGGCGGTCGGGTAGCCTAGTGGTTAAAGCGTTGGCTCGTCACGCCGAAGACCCGGGTTCGATTCCCGACATGGGTACAATGTGTGAAGCCCATTTCTGGTGTCCCCCGCTGTGATATTGCTGGAATATTGGTAAAAGCGGCGTAAAACCATACTCACTCGCTCACTCACTCAGCGGGATACGAACCTGCAGCTTTTTAATGTGAAGTTCTTCACGCTACCTCCTGTACTCCGGAGACAAACGTCAATTTTCATGGTCACCATAAACCTAGCCTGGTGTATCTGCACATTTTTATCTTAATAGTGTACCAAGTTCGTTGTAAGTCCTGGTGGTATGGTATAGATTCCACAGTTTGATTATAACGAGATAGTGTTCCAGTCTGAAGAACAGAATCTTCTCCATGATGGTCTAGTTCTGCAAGGTGAGGTGAGGTGAGGTGAGGTGAGGTGAGGTGAAATGGGGTTTAACGTCGCGTCCAAGATTATTGCACTTATATAGCGATGCGCATGCACGTGTGTGTGTGTGTGTGCGTGCGTGTGTATGTGAGTGAGTGTGTGTGTGTGAGTGAGTGAGTGAGTGAGCGAGCGTGCATCCGTGCGTGCGTGCGTGCGTGCGTGTGTGTGCTTGTACAAGTCCGGACTAATGCCGATTTTATAGTGCTAGCACACTGAGACACCATGCCCCAGTTTAACATGATCATAACCCCACTCGAACACAGCATACTGACTCCGAGCCGACCAGTCCTTGTTTTGACCCCTTAATGTCGAGCGCCAGACAGGGCAACACGGGGATAGAAAATGTAGACGGATGTTTTAGATGACGACTGAGCTATGAAAAGGCGATGGGGACAGGAAATGGTGTTGGTAGGGTGGAGTAGAGTGGGGGGTACACCATGAGAATGGGGATTGGAAAAGGGTGGCAATGGGATTTATCTTAATGGGGACGGGCAGCGTCTTTTTTCGTAAAGATCGTAGTTCATCTCACACTACATGATCGGGGCGGTGGGGGTAGCCTAGTGGTTAAAGCGTTTGCTCGTCACGCCGAAGATCCCGGTTCGATTCCCAACAGGAGTGCAATATGAGAAGCCCATTTCTGGTGTCCCCCACCGTGATATTGCAGGAATATTTCTAAAAGCGGCATAAACTCACTCACTCACTCACTCACCCACTCACGACATGTTCTGTCCTGTTTGATTATTTGTGGTTGGACCTGGAAACTGCGTCGTCATGGAACGGAGACAGAGATTCAATGCTTGATTAAAACTAGCATCCATAACGCTTCACAGCTCTAAAATTCCTTAACCGTGGAGTGAGTAGGCGTGTGAATGACTAAGACCCGCGAAAGTGATGGAATAGCGTTGCCAAGCAACATGTGTCAGTTTGTGCAATATTAACACGAGCTCTAACTGTGAACAGACAGTGTATAAATAAACAAAAAATCCCACTAGAAAACACGTTTTTCTTTATATATAAGTATATAAAGATATAATTCACAAAAAAATTTATCGATCGTGGAACTCGACCTATACTTTCTTCTGCCGCCCAGTTTAAATAACAACGACAACATATTTTTCATGAGTAAATGAGTGGGTGGGTGAGTGAGTCAGTTGGGTTAAAACATTATTCAAGTTATATCACGGCGTGTCAGCTTGATGTGGAAGGAAAGCCCGAAGTGATGCAGGTCTCAGACGTTTTCCACTTTGGTGAAACCCACGAGTACGGGTATGGTGCTGCCTCCACCACCCCATCTCCTTGCCTCCACTACCCCATCTCCCTGCCTCCACCACCCCATCTCCCTGCCTCCACTACCCCATCTCCCTGCCTCCACCACCCCATCTCCCTGCCTCCACCACCCCATCTCCCTGCCTCCACCACCCCATCTCCCTGCCTCCACCACCCCATCTACACCCCTCCACCACCCCATCTCCCTGCCTCCACCACCCATCTCCCTGCATCCACCACCCCATCTCCCTGCCTCCACCACCCCATCTCCACCCCTCCACCATCCCATCTCCACCCCTCCACCACCCCATCTCCCTGCCTCCACCACCCCATCTCCCTGCCTCCACCATCCCATCTCCCTGCCTCCATCACACCATCTCCCTGCCTCCACCACCCCATCTCCACCCCTCCACCACCCATCTCATCTCCCTGCCTCCACCACCCCATCTCCACCCCTCCACCATCCCATCTCCACCCCTCCACCACCCCATCTCCCTGCCTCCACCACCCCATCTCCACCCCTCCACCATCCCATCTCCACCCCTCCACCACCCCATCTCCCTGCCTCCACCACCCCACCACCACCCCATCTCCCTGCCTCCACCACCCCATCTCCACCCCTCCACCACCCCATCTCCACCCCTCCACCATCCCATCTCCACCCCTCCACCACCCCATCTCCCTGCCTCCACCACCCCATCTCCACCCCTCCACCACCCCATCTCCCTGCCTCCACCACCCCATCTCCACCCCTCCACCACCCCATCTCCACCCCTCCACCACCCCATCTCCCTGCCTCCACCACCCCATCTCCACCCCTCCACCAACCCATTTCCCTGCCTCCACCACTAATCTCCACCCCTCCACCAACCCATCTCCCTGCCTCCACCACCCCATCTCCCTGCCTCCACCACTAATCTCCACCCCTCCACCAACCCATCTCCCTGCCTCCACCACCAATCTCCACCCCTCCACCACCCCATCTCCCTGCCTCCACCACCAATCTCCACCCCTCCACCACCCCATCTCCCTGCCTCCATCACACCATCTCCCTGCCTCCACCCACCCCATCTCCACCCCTCCACCACCCCATCTCCACCCCTCCACCAACCCCATCTCCATCCCTCCACCACCCCATCTCCCTGCCTCCACCACCCATCTCCCTGCCTCCACCACCCATCTCCCTGCCTCCACCAACCCATCTCCCTGCCTCCACCAACCCATCTCCCTGCCTCCACCAACCCATCTCCCTGCCTCCACCACCCATCTCCCTGCCTCCACCACCCATCTCCCTGCCTCCACCAACCCATCTCCCTGCCTCCACCACCCATCTCCCTGCCTCCACCACCCCATCTCCCTGCCTCCACCACCCATCTCCCTGCCTCCACCACCCCATCTCCCTGCCTCCACCACCAATCTCCACCCCTCCACCACCCCATCTCCACCCCTCCACCACCCCATCTCCCTGCCTCCACCACCCCATCTCCCTGCCTCCATCACACCATCTCCCTGCCTCCACCCACCCCATCTCCACCCCTCCACCACCCCATCTCCACCCCTCTACCAACCCCATCTCCATCCCTCCATCACCCCATCTCCCTGCCTCCACCACCCCATCTCCCTGCCTCCACCACCCCATCTCCCTGCCTCCACCAACCCATCTCCCTGCCTCCACCACCCATCTCCCTGCCTCCACCACCCCATCTCCCTGCCTCCACCACCCCATCTCCCTGCCTCCACCACCCCATCTCCCTGCCTCCACCACCATATCTCTACCCCTCCACCCCATCTCCCTGCCTCCACCCCCCCCCCCCCCCCATCTCCCTGCCTCCACCACCCCATCTCCCTGCCTCCACCACCACATCTCCCTGCCTCCACCACCACATCTCCCTGCCTCCACCACCCCATCTCCCTGCCTCCACCACCCCATCTCCCTGCCTCCACCACCCCATCTTCCTGCCTCTACCACCCCATCCCCCTCTCTCCATCAACCACATCTCCCTGCCTCCACCACCCCATCTCAACCCCTCCATCACCCCACCTCAACCCCTCCACCACTCCATCTCCCTGCCTCCACCACCCCATCTCCACCCCTTCATCACCCCATCTCCCTGCTTCCACCACACCGATCCCCCGCCCCTACACTAACAATGACCTATTTACATGCAGAATATCACATCCTTGTAACATCTGCGCCCTAGACTGGGCACCCGTCTATAGGTCGCCTCATGTTCCAGCAGTAGCATCAGTTAGTTGATACCAGCACAAAGAGGCTGTTGTTCACCATCACCTATTAGCAAACCATTGACTCGGTTGTTAATCTGATACGTATTGTTGACTCAGATACCCACTGCGAGGTAACTTTACCTCTGCTGTGAAAAGAATCTGATTTGAATCCGGTGTCAGTATTTCTAAACTTACGTCTAACTCGACGGTCTTGTTTATTTATTGGTGTATGGTCATGTGACTGGAAGTATCCCGATGTCGAACTACACTGAATAGCTCTATTATGCCTCGTCATCATAAACGTTATTACCGTATTCGACGTAATAAGCGCCCAGGGCGCTCTCAAAATTAGAAATAGGGGGCTCTTATTAGAATATTATTTTGGTGCTATAAAAAAGGATGACAAAAGTAACTTTAACAAAAAAAAAGGTCACCTTTTTTTCCGCATTTGATTCATAGCTCTCTGTTGATACATGATATGTTTGAGTCTGACTGTGTGTTGCAGCCGTTTTCGGTTTGAAATAGGACAATGTTTGTTTCCAACCCTTTAATTTTCTTAAGAGTGTATTGTGCCATTCTATGCAATCCGAAATATGTCTTTGACGGAATACTGTATTAATCTACAACTCTGGGAACAATAAAAACGTTGGAAAAAAAAAAAGAATATTATTTTGGTGAAAAAGACTTTTGGTTGAAAGATAAATTTCGTGGTTTATGCTGACAGCCTGAAATGTTTATATACGAGAGATACATTTTTCCAGAATTTAAATGCCCATAATTAAGGGTACATATAACACACGAGTGCGTATTATACGCGAATAAATAAGTGTTGTGTACATTGATCAATCGGAAGGGGTGCTAATTGGTATTGTTCACTAGCCAATATATTAGCAAATATCGCCGTGGGCGCGTATTAGAGCAGGGCGCTTATTACGTCGAATACGGTAACTTAAATTTGTTTGTAATAGGGTGTCGCTGTGTGGAAATGCCCCTTTGTGTATTCCCGGTGAGTGAGTGAGTGAGTTGTGTTTAGCGCCGCTTTCAACAGTATTTCAGTTATATCACGGCGTGTCAGCTTAATGTTGGGGGAAAGCCCGAAGTGATGCAGGTCTCAGGCGTTTACCACTTCGGTGAAACCCACGAGCACGGTTATTGTGCTGACAAACCTAGAAACATAATCGGGGCGAATCGTGATTCGAACCCACAATCATAAGTTACAGGCGTGCCCAAGGGACGCAACTCTGCACAGCGAATCGCGGCGCCTTAGACGACTGGGCCACCCGTGCCCCCCTCGGTTTTGGAAACTTTTGAAATGTTGCAATGGAAAGTGTCACTGTGACAGACGACTAGCCTTTACTTTAACTACTAGGCTACCCGACCACCCCAGCAACATGACATGAATGAGAAGGACATGTAAATAAGCAAGTCAGCGAGCATGACATCCGATCCATTAAGTCGCATCTTACGACAAACATGGGTTGCTGGGTTTTTTTCAATTCTGAAATTAGTAAACAGTTCGAGAAAAAAACAATGTTAACAAAAAAAATATATATTCCACATTTAACGAAATTAAAACAGGTAATAACAACACAAAAATATGATTTCACTTATATCTGGACATTTGTGAAATTAATTTCAAAAGCCATGAAGTAAAAGAACACACGTTAATTTGTGCAATAAAAAAAAATAATGTCCGGAAAAACACAATATATATACAAAACTATATGAAAAATACTGAGTTAAAAGTGCTCTAATTTGTCAAGTACCGGGGTCAGCTCATCTTTATTTCAAAAACTAGAAGATGAAAACACTCCGATTGTTTATGACTCAAAATAATTAATTCCTTTCAGATGGGAAACCACAATAAACTGTCACCGATCAACTCAAAACATGGAATGCTGACAATTGTATACGAAGTGACAGCGTTCAAAATTGAATTCGCACAACCAAGAAGTTTAATTTCAAATGTCACAGACTGTCAAAGATATAACACCTAACCACACACGAAAACATACCGGTGGTCTGGGACTAAACAATGTCTTCAAGATACAGGCACAATTCAATCTGTCTGGGGTGCAATTTATTAGCCCCTGACCCTCCCCAAAGCCACACTCGACCTATTTACCTCAAGCCTCGGAGTAAAAGAGCCAATTTTCAAAGCAGCATCTTCACTCCTTGACACGTCATTGTATAAAGACTCAAATCAAGTGGAAACCATTACAATGACGTATGGCCGCGTGCGCCGCACGCGTTACGCTGGAAACTCTCGCGTTATTTTACGTGATCATATATTACTCAAGACGGGCACCACCAACTAAGAACTCTTTCAGCCAATCAGAGAAGGCGTTGCATTGTCCCTGTACGATGTAAACTCAAGGGTGAGGCTTCTTTTGACGGCGTATCTGTCAAAATGGCGGAAAGTGAATGGAACTCTCGTGTTAGGTCTCGTCGACAGATGGCGCTTTGAGAATTGTTGTCTCAGTGTTACGCGCACGCCCTTTAGCGTTATGCAAGAACAAAACAACAAGGTCCATCCCATCTTGATTTCCGACCTTTATCAGTGAATCAGATAACTCGCGCTTCATTAAAGCGACCTGCAGATCCGAGGGCAAGCGTTGGCGTCGACCTAGGGTTGTCATTATGGGGTTACCGCTGGCAATGAAAGAATAATCTTTAATTTCACTTATGTTCCTGAAATCCCCAAATTCCTCCCAATCCACCCCCCCCCCCCCCCCCCCACTCCCCCTCCCCCTGCTCCCCCTGTTTTCCTCTCCTCACTCTCCTCTCTAATTCCCTCCTCCATCTTTACATATATCTCTCTTTCCCCTTCCTCTTTCTCGTCCGCTCTCTCCCTCTTTCCTCTCTCATTCCCCTCCCTTCCCAAACATCCCCTTTCCCTACTCCCTCCTCAAAGTATGTATATTTTCTATAAACCCTTAAAAAGGTTTTACAAACTTTATTTTACGCATATGGATTTGGTGTTACACGGATAATATATAGAGCAATAACTCCATTGATTGCAAAAATTTAGCCATATTTATAGATAAAGTGCCTAAATGGCATATGCTTTCATTTACATAAAATCAATGCATTAGTACATGGGTATGCTTATGATAGCTTTAAGTAAAAGGGGCGGTGGGGGGGGCCTAGTGGTTAAAGCGTTCGCTCGTCACGCCGAAGACAGGGTTCGATTCCCCACTGGGGTACAGTGTGTTAAGCCAATTTCGTTACTTTGTTTATTTTCTCGTCATTTCAAATATTTGCTCGTTACTTCAATTATTTTTCTCGATATTTTAAGTTTATTTCCAAAACTCGAAATTTCGAGAAAATGATTGAAATAACGATAGAAATAATCTAAGTAACAAGAAAAAAACTAAATTTCGAGAAAATAATTGAAATAAGGAGAAAGAAACTCGACATTTAGAGTTTTTGAAAAAAACTCGAAATAACAAGTAAAAAATAGAAGTAACGAGAATGAAAAATCGAAATTTCGAGAAATTAATTGAAATAACGAAAAATTCGATTTAAAAAAAATACAATTATGGTACCAAAGTAGCATCATTAGGCTTTCGTATTGATGAATATGCTTCTTTGCTTGTATGTGCAGCCAAACCGTTCACCGTGAAGATCTCTTGTGGCGGCACGCGTCGATTCACTTTAATGCTCCGGGCAGAAATCTTGCATGTTAAACTTTGTTGAACTGATGTCCAGCACTTCTCGACAAAGTATCACAAAGTAATGTAGAAATGCATGTAAACACTGATTCTTTTTCTGGCCACAAACATTATGTAAATAAGAAGATATGTTGATTGTCATATTCTTTTTATAGTGTAAGCATATTGACGACGGACAAATAGCCCAAGTCAAATTTATGACATAGATAATCTGATATTGCTGGCATATTGCCGCAAAAGAGGCGTAAAACACAACTCACTCAAAGTGACATTAGATATCTTTCGCATCTTTCAAGTATGTGTAATTGATTGTTTCCCCAAGAAATATATGTTCCCATGGAAACGCAACCAAAATAGAACATGGTGACAAAAAGGATTCTCACAAGACAAGAGACACTAGCAGGGCGATTTGAACATAGGGCTCTGGCGAACGTAAGGGACTGTAGGCGAATTGAGGCGCCTTAGACTACTAGCCCCTGTGTCCCTGTCAAAGCGTTAACGTAAGTTACACGCAGTTTAACCTACATTTTCAAACAGTTAGTTCATAAAAAAATCAGAGGCTCGTGCGTATGGTAAACTGCGGGGCTAAAGAAAGTATACATTTGAAAATTGGATTCGATCCCAAAATTACAAACGTTATCTAAACGTTACTAAGCTGAAAACAGTCAAGTCAATAATTGTTACTAAATACCTGACGCAAAGAACAGTAAGTTCAGTAAAAGTAAATAAATAAGTTTTCATTAGTTTAGTTAGTAAAAATTAAAACCTGGCTAGACCACCAGGAAAAAAGCTGATCCAAACGTTGTCAGCACTTTACTAGGCTGAAAACAGTCATCGAAACATTGCAACACAACACAACTATGATACCCGTATGAAATACTTCCTAACCGGATACTCTTTTCTTGTTTATTTCTATTTTACCCGCCATCAAACATGGGTGTATATTTTCTTTTTTCCAGCTGCTTACATTGGCCACACTTAAATGTTTTCATGTAAATGCTACTTGTCCTAAGGTTCTATAAGGGAAGCGTTTCCATGGCATCATAACGTACTAGTCTTGACAAATACGAACTTGGACCAGTCACCATGACCATGAAACGCATTTTTAAAAGAAGACTTAATGTTTGATTGGTTTATAACAAAATCATATACACAACCCGAGGGTTTATTTACGTCCTCCTTTGGAGGTCGTTTACATGAAAAGTACACATTTCACATGGAGTGAGTGAGTGAGTGAGTTGGCTTTAATGCCGTTTAAACAGTATTCCAGTTATTGGTTTAGTGCTGACAAAACACAATCAGACGAACCAGGATTCGAACCCACGATCATACGTTTCCGGTATGCCCGATGGATGTA